CTTAATTTATTAATAATTTTATTATTATTAATTTAAATTAAATTAATTATGAAAAATATTTTAAATAAAAATACAATCAATAGCATGGCGCTTTATATATTAAATTAATGATTTCCGTAAAATTCGCAAGACACTGGTTCCCGGAACCATATTACATTAACGCGACATTGTATCACGTTGTTAAGGCGATGATGGCGAATAAAGTATGTTACTTAACGACCCTCGCGTTTATACGATTTCCGTTGGATTTAAGGCCAGAAATTTATATCGCGACGCGTGTTGCACTGTTAAAACGATATAATTTATATCCGCGCGGATTAATAGCTACCATAATTTCGAAGCCGAAATATACCGAGGCTCGTAAGTCACCGCAAGACCATTCCGCACCGCGATCACCAACGCGATCCGATCTTGGTAGGTGCAGCTCGCTGCATCGAATAAGATACGTTATTTTAATGGTCGCTGTGTATTTGTACGATGTGCACTGAAACGGAGCAAGAAGCTCGCGTACTTCGCTTAGGACGGGACCAGGGGCGAAATGAACGAAGCATCCTTGGCGCAGCGTCTAAATTAATGGCTCTCACAGCTCTCCACGAGCCATAAGTAATACTATTAACTCGTAGAATCTCTACGTAATCGTATCGTACGATGTATCGCGTGCGCGCGCGCGCGTCTATGATTACATCAATTTGCGATGTCACGTGAGATATATACGTCATATGTTGCGAGACATAAAGTCACGGCGTCCATTTATAGAGCGCGGAACAATCAGCGCTAGTCGCGATTACTACAACGATGAAATGCAGGAGTCTAAGAGATGGCGCTTAATGGAAATCTTTATTACGCGATAAATATACGTTTATATATCGATATCGTGCTACGATAATGTAGTATAATCTCGAAAACTTTCACAATGGAACATTCTAAATTACTGTTATTTTAAAGAGAATTTTATGCGAGAAATTTATTTCGCTGTAATAATACTAAAAATAGCATCTTTTGTTTCTATTTAACGCTAGACTACGTAATAAAAGATACGACATATATATCTCTCTTGTATCCCGTAAAGGTCTCTCAAAAGGTAGATAAAAAAAATTGACAAGAATGTGATTCGAGTTGTCATCATCGAGGAGAATCGATCCTTTGGCGACGTAAATGCACCTCGTGTCCTAGGATATCAATTACACCCTCGCCGTAGCCCTCGGCGCGAAAATGTCATTAGAATCAATAACAGCCACTCCCCCTCCCCCTCCTCTTTCCATTCAATTCGCATACGCACAATTCCACCCCCTCATCGCTTCCGTTCGACCAACTTTTCCCGATGGCGCTATCATTCTAGGGAGCATTGTATCCCGCTTCCTTGCGCGACCAAACTTTTTCCCACCCTTCCTCACTTGTCCTTCGTTTCGTTGCCGAAAGGCATGAGGGACGCCCAAGTATTCACCAATTTCGCGAACTCGAGCACACGTGCTCGATTATAAGACGTTTGAAAAATTCAGATATTATTTCTTTATTACTTGAACGGGAAACTTTGCTCCCAGTTTTCTTTTTATCATCTTCTAGCAAAAGAAATTTCAAAAGCTGTATTTAAATATTATTAAAAGAAAAGTCACAGGTGCATAGAGATAGATAATCCTGTAAAAGAATTTTATAAAAAAATCCGATAATTACATAAAAATTCTTGCATAATATGACAAATATTTTAATTAAATTCACAGACTTGATAATAATCATAATATTCTATATATTTTAAATCTGTGTTTAATATATCCGGATATTTATACATCATCACCGTGATGCTGCGGGCGATATTCCAGCGTGGCTCGTATCGTCAATATCAACGAGCGTTTTCATTTTTCTCCATTTTTCGTCGGAACGAGGTAATATTTTCGCTACGAACCTCGAGACTTCCTAGTCCTGTCAAGTTACTGGAAGGACACGGCAAATCCCGCGGCATCGCCGCGCCCGGGATCAGGACGGGTGGTGGAAAGAGAAATTGGAGACGTATATACGGCGCGGCGGAAATATATACGTGGCCTAGAGGGTTCAAGGATGTGCGACGTTGTCTTCCACGGGGGGTGGATTTGCCTTGGAGGAATCCGCGGTCTTCACAGAGGGAGGGAACCATCCCGTTAAGCCACCATGATTCCACGAGATAAACCCCCATATTATGTCGCGTGGGATTATGCGGAAAACCAGCCACAAGACGAGGCGACCCGCTGGTCTTTGTGTGCGCGCGCGACTCGCGATGTGTATATGTATATACTATATACGCAGTACAATTCTGTAGGTGTATAAAGATTTTACGGGCGCGCCACGTCTCACGGAGACGATCGTGTCTTCTCGAGAAAAAAAAATTTCCCCGCGCTTCGCTGGCTACAAGAAGAAAATTAAGAAAGCTTAGGATAAGAAAGGGTGCGTACGCTTGCGCACGTACGCACCCTTTTATTATTTTCCCGCTGACGGCTTCGTGACAAACGAGCCAAGACATATTTGTGCTATGAAAATATAATCTCGTAAAAATTATGTGAAATATTACGTTCATATTGATATTTCATGAAGTATCACGAAGCATGTCTGCATTGATTAAGTTAAATCATTATATGTATAAATATAAATCATTAGCCACATTGAATTATTGCAAGAAAAAGAAACACTGAAATGTCCAATTATCGTAGTTTGTATATTATCCCCAGGATATTCGTTTTATGTGATTTCGAGTTTTAAAAATCTTGGCAACTTTGCATCGTGCCAGGTTTTTAATATCCAAAGGCAAGATCGTTACAAAAGCAACGAAAGCATCACTTCCGCTGATGGCCGAGCACGAATGGTCCGTTTATCGGTCGCAAAAAATCGGCCAGTGACTTCCCATAAAGGAGTATACCAGCCGGGGGCTCGTATTTAAAGGATTTTAAAGGACCACAACATCGCTTGGACGAGTTTTCGTTGGTATTTTCGGGGCCAGTGCATTTTTAATTAAGCCGTAAATCCGTGTGTCGCGGCCCGCCTTTATTGCGGGCCTAAACTATATCGGTCGCGCTCTTAAAAAGATGCAACACGAGACGAAATCCTTGCCGAACAATTCGCCTCGCGTTCCCGTGCTCGCGTCGCGCGCATAGAACTCTCGCCGGGAGGCGTCTTTTTTATCTCGAACCACCCTTGGAAAGGCGCGCGATGTCCTGCATCGTTCGTCGTAACGATCGGCCCCGCTGCCAGGAATGTCGTAAACAGAGTCAAGGTGGTCCGGGGGGATGATCCGTCTTCCCGCGTTATCTTTTTTCTTATTCTCTCTCCTATATAAGTCAACGCTCTTAAACCTTAATGACCGAATTTCATTGCCTTTTATTCTCACGTGGACGCGATCGTTAACGCGAACTCGAAGAGATACATGGAATCCGGCGTAGTACGCGTGACAGAATGCGCTTATGATTCTTGATTATCGGCGAGCCAACGTGTACGTGTATATCTGACTCAATCGTGATTCTTTTAAATGAGACGTTCTCGTTTTCTTTATCTCTTCTTACTGCTATCTCAAGCCCTTAAATGTTTGCAACATATTGTGGAAGAAAGCAATGACATATGTGTACAATTTACTGTACTTTTTCTTTAGATATTTTTATTTTCTAATATAAGCGCGCATAACAGACATAATAAAGATGATATCTTATCAGATTTTAATTAAAAAAGAAAAATAAATAAACGAGCGATTTATCGAAGAAATAATATCTACGATAAGATAGATAACTATCCATGTATAACTGTTAATTACTAGAAGCGTTATAAAGAGTTATCTCTAACGATGATAAAAAATATATTACATTCAAAACATAAACAAATGTTTAACAACTATGAATGAGACTTTCGGAGTCTGTGTTTGTTTATACAACTTGGGAATAAAACGGTAAGAAAAGACCAATGTCCTATGACTGTTGAGTCATTCTCGCATCTCCGTTAGCCACTTCGGCAAGATAGAAGAGAAGAACGCCAACGGAGAAATCAAAGGAGAATGGAACGTCGTATAAATACTGTGAAGATGGTGAGAGGCGAGAAGGACGCATAGATACAGGTCGCATCCGTTGCAGCTCGTCGCCTTCCACTTCCATTTGAATAAAAGCAACGATAAGCACATCCTTAGAGTCGCTCGCAGTTTCTGAATTGTTTCCGCTTCTTAAACCCCCGACAAATTTATTATAATAACTACCCTTAGAGCCGGCGGATCTCTCTCAGTTCGCTCTCTCCGTCGTCACCGTCTTCAGGTTCCGCAATCGTCCCTTCTCGTCTCTCTTTCTATCCGCGCCGCCACCACCTCTCACGCTGCTTCTTGGCCTGCGCACCAGACGCTTCCACCCCACCGTCTACCCTGAATGTGAATGCGCCTCTGTTGTTCATACCCGTCCCTCTCTTCCCGTTGCCCTCGCCCCATGCCACCGCCTTCGGTTTTCTCTCGCGAGGAAGAACTCGCTTTTCTCCGGGTAGTCGTCGGGCGAAAGGAAGGATCGCTCCCGCGAATAATGCGTTTCTCTTTTACCACGTGGCGAGGAAGCTTGGGATAACGGAGACTGAACAAGAGCATCAGTTGCAATATTCTCAGCGCGCGAACAACGTCAAGTTTTCTGAATATTTCGAGCCGGTTTACGGACCAGCGCGCGGCAGTTAATCATTTTACGATAATTACACGCTTTAAAGCCACGGAGTCGGATAATTCTCTCCTTATTAATCCGACAGACTCAACTCGAAATTCCCGGTTTATAGAAATATCGATATTTAATATATATATACATATATAGAGTGTATATGCGTGTGTTATATATATTTAATAATATATATATATATATATTTAATATATATAATAAATATTGCATTAATAAAATATTTTAAATTTTTGTTATATGTATATATGTATATATATATTATACCTCACATTTTGAATGTATATTATACGAAGTAAAACAGTTAAGTTATAGATTATAAATCTAGATTTAAAAATAAAATAAGCGTTTATACATAAAATCTCATGGCATAATAGATAATAAATAGATAAGAATAATATTGATGCGCAAAACGTTTGCGAATTAATTCCACAAAATATAATGCAATATTAATGAAAATTTGAGTAGGTGCAGAAACAAAAATCACGATTAATTGCAACGCTATCGGGTACCATTAAAGCAGTTATAGACGACTCATTGCAAACTCCCATTTTCAAAACGAGAGATATCATCCTTAGAAAATACTACTAGCGGTCAACACATCTTAACAAAGAAATCCGTGTTTCTCATCCGAAGGAACCACCATCGTATCTCGACGTGACCTAAGCAGACGACCGGCAGGTCGGCGCGTATGCGCGGTTCACTCTTAATATTATCCGCCGTAACCGCCGTGTTATGGTGTCCGTAAATAGGCGCTGGCCCGACGCGTGTATTTTTCCGCCCCGCGCCGCGGAACCACGGCCGCTGAAAACAACATCGCAGGAATTATACGCGGCAGAAGAAAGACGACGGACAAAGTAGAAGCCGACGGAGGAGAAAAAGGACGAGAAGAGAAAAAGAGAGAGAGAGAGAGAGAGAGAGAGGAACGCGAAGCGAAGAGAAGAGGCCCTGAAGCGGGCGGTTACTTCGCCTCGGCATGGTATTTACGACGTCATTTCCTCGCTGACTGTCAATAATTTCCCTAGGGGATGCGCGGAAGACACTATTGCCTCTCGCGTGCCTCCGGACGTAGCTAACCGTCGTCTTTCTATCCACCTATCTCTTGCCCGCGCCACTTTTTTCGTCTCTCCTTTTTCATTCCTCTCGCTTCGAATTGAAAAGACGTCAAAAACGAAGCCAGCCAAAAAGTAATATCGTATAGACGAGGGAAATGTGTAAACGGCTGAATAGAGTTCGATTATACGCTTTCGGCAATTTACCTCTACGCACGATACGTGCTGATTTTCCTCAAGTCGGATTCGACATTTAAATGTCGGAACATATGAGCGGGAATTACAGACACTCATTACTTCGATCAATCTAACCTTTCGAATTAATGACAGCCTTGTTAATCCCAGATTTAATTATCTACCTTGCGACAGCTACTTTCTATTAAATAATGAGCGTGTAAAAACTATACGGTGGTAATTATTATTAATACACACGTATAGATTTAGATATGCCATATAGTCATATATTTGCTTGCCTATTTCTCTCAATCATCGAATAATTATGTATGCCTAGAGCAGTTAAACAGGGCGGGGAGAGAGAAGATATTCTCAAGTATATTGTTCTGCTTTGTGAACGTGGATATTACATAAGATAAGCAAGAGTAATATTAGATAAAAGATAGTTATAAAAATATAATGACTGAGAAAGTAAAAAAATATGTAGCTACATTACAATAATTATGCAATAACTGAATATGCACGTGTATATTTCGTTATCCTATTATTTATATTTTGTTTATCGCCGTAATTTTAATCTCGTAAAAATAAAATTCAGTAAATGTAGAAATTTATGCCACCATGATTTAACATCGTGATTGATACGATAAATCATTTTGTTGATAAAACACACGTTGGTTTTATTAACACTTTTATAATTATATGATAATTATATACTTAACTTACACGTGTATCGACCAGTCTGTGCGCGGCCAGTTATTATGCCCCGCGAGCCCCTTTAAAAACAGTTAAACGCCGGGAAACTGCAGCTTCAAGAACCAAGACAGCGCGTTACCTAATGAAGCATCTCCTTTAACTAATTTACAATCAGCGCTTCCTCCCATGCCGGTCGAGACGGTGGATGACGAGTGAGATGCCGGAGGGGGCGCGAGCGGAGGAGGACAAGTACCTAAGTTCCGTACTTTCTCTGTTCCGGGATTATCGCCACCTCCGTGACCCAGAACTCTTTAATTTTCGCCATCGATACCGTAGCATCCTCTTTAACTCATTACACTCGATCAATTATACGGGCGTACGATTAGTGTAGTCGCCTTTCCCTTTCTCATTCTCACTCTCGGTCCCCTCTCTGTTCGTCCCCTCCCCATCCCTGCCGTTCCTCCCGTGTCGTCCTGTTCAACAACCCCGTCTTAATCCCTCGACCGAGACCCCGAGTGGTATCCAGAGATACTAGGGTTTACCAAGGTAAACCTCTTAGCGTTCCGATGCCATGGGAAGTCAAGGTCGCGTGACGAGGTGCGTCGCAATCCGCTGAGTTTAGGAGAACCTGGCGAACGATGTTGGCCAAATCCTGCATAGTTTCAAACACACCTACCTGTAACCAAAAAGAAAAAGGAGTACATTAATATAGTTCACAAAAAAACGAGAGTGCTTTAAATTAGAATGCTTGTTCTTGACGTTTTATACATAATATTATAACAATTTATATATTGCATCCTATGTTTGATGTGTAAAAACTACAAATTTTAGACAAAATATTCTACGTATCCATATGTTGTAATGTCATCTTATTTTTAACGTTTTGCGCTTTGTAAAAATAATGACAAAACATTTAGTAATAGAAAATAAAAAAATAAAAGCAAATAAAAAAATTAAATAAAATATTATTGGGTAAAGGCATTTATTTCTTCAGCAAGATCAAATCGATGAGAAGCAAAGGCATGCTTCAGCTAGCCACAATCTCACTCTATAACGTGTAGTCTGGCTTTGTTATCCCAATTTAATGCATATGCAGACATCTGAAAAGGCGTTACAGCAGGGTGGCCCATTTGTTCTCTACATATCCACGGCCATAATGTCATACGATAAGACGCAGATAGCATGGGTCGCCTAGTGTGTTAGCCGGCAGTTAAAGCTTTATCGCCGTACATCTCGTGTTATTCGTCAAGGCATGACGAGTGGGTGGAATTTTTATGTCTTCGAACTGGCAGCATTTCTCTTCCCTTCCAAAATCGCTTAAATAAAACTCTATAAGGTAATGTCGAAACGTCGCTATAGCCGGTTATTATGATTAACTTGATGAATCGAATATTCGAACAATGTTGCGATGAGCACCGACAAGCTACATTTGATGCAAACAAATTAATTTAATGGTTATCGATTTCACATGTGGCTATACATGTGGTAATAACAGCATAACGTACATGTATGCTCTTTGCTCGGCGAATTAGGAGTGCTTATTAATAGAACGAATCGCAGAAATGTATATTAACAAACTCAGTTTTTTGTACTTTAGAATAATCACATGTTGTATTATAAATACCAACAAAGATTAAAAATTAGAAAAGGTGCCGGTGCATTGTATCAGTCAATAGATAATCGCCACACATATATTTATTAACATACTTTAATTGAAGTTAAATAGTTCTAACTCAATTCGTAAATTTATCCTAAACAACATTTTTCGATTAAATTCAAAAAGTAATGCAAAACAAATTTGGAATTTAATAAAACAGCCATTATGACGTAAATAATATCGAAAATTCCGCATCTCAGTGTTTACAGTATATTCTATATATATTCTATTTAAATAAATATATGTATATATACAAAAAATAAATAGATTATATTAATACATATGAATCGACTTTTATAATTATTAAATAATTTTCTTTTTGCGTTTTGACTGAAATAAAATATTTCATAAAACAAAACTAGATCGAGATATACATATATTACTTTCATTGTCTTTCAAATTGTCTGTAAACGTGAGGCTTTAAAAATTTAGAAAAAGTACACGAAGAAATCGTGCTAAGGAAACGGGCGTGGTAGAAGAACAGTGTCGATGGGATTCGTGATATTATGCAGGACAGAGTGGCAGGAAACGGTGTAACATCAGCCATAGGCTCCATGTACGAGGGTGGAATATGCTTAACGTTAATTTGTACGATAAAAGAATTATTGATTTTTACTTGGCGGCCCAGTCAAGGGTGAGAGAGAGAAAAAGAGAGAGAAAGAGAAAGAGAAAGAGAAAGAGAGAGAGAGAGAGAGAGAGAGAATGCACGGATAGGGGAACCTTGCTTTAAAGTGGAGGTACTAATGAGACGCCTTTAACGCATCGTTATGCTATCTCACGGCTGGAACCTTAAGTTGAAGATGCCATTCGCAGAGTATTAATGTTTCTTAATATTCCAAAATATTTTTGACGGATGTGAATGCGTTACTAAATATTCTATGACGAAAATATATATCATATATTTTTATAGATTATCTCTGATTATATATATAACACTTTCTCTCCATATATTAATTAAGAAAACTGATATATCTATTCTCAATAAAATATTTAGCGTATCATTCTCTCTTTGTCTTCTCAATTAAATTATATAAAAAAAAATATTCCTTTTGTTTCGAAAACATATTCATCACGTTTTTCTCGACTATATAGATCATGTTACTTGAAAACTTTACTTGTATAGAGCTAGCATGATATTAATTAACGTGAACGAGGCTCGGAGCAAGTTCTGTTCAGCTGTCAAGTTGTTGTTTTTTTTACATACTCATGTAAAAATGCGCGTACATTATGTGCATGGGAAGGAACCGTTGCGGCCGCGACGGCTTTGCCGCGTCTGAAAATTTGGAGTAATAGGAAAACTCCTGAGCGGAAAAGAAGTTCAATCTAGCCGGGCGAGGGAGAAGCTTGGAAAAGCTCTTTGGGCTCCTTTGATTCCAACTCGACCCCTACCACCTTCTAAATCTTTTCCCCTCCTCCTTTTCCTCACCCTCCTCTCAACCACCGTCGCCTACGACTCCATAACGTTTTTCACGATAGGAAGAAGCTTCCAAAAGTTGCTTTGCCAAGTTGCCCTGCGGCTGTGCATCGGGCCAGTCTCTAAAAATCTGACTTTCTTCTTCGCTTTCTTTAACCACCGTTGCGGATAACCGTCTACGGTCGGGATGGATGTTCTCTCTATATTTACGGTAGGGAAATGATGAAAGAAGAAAGTGATGGAAAGAGACCAGCGTATTCACATTTTAGTGATCGTCGAAAGGCAGGAATAAAGAGAAGAGTTGCACATTTAAGGCTTGCAATAAAATTGTGTCTTCCATCTAACTGAAATTCGAGTCTTTCTCTCGAATTTGTGTTTATATTAATTGAAATGGTAATCGGATATCAGAAAAATAACGGTTCGTTGAAAAATAGGACGATGCAATTTATAAAGAAATATGTTCTACTTGTCGACAAATAGAATTTGTACGCTTTTATATACAAATATAAATTTTAAATTATATGTAATACAGATAAAAAGAGTGAGAAAACATTTTTATTGATTTGCAATAATTTTTCATATGTGTTAACAAAGTATCTTAATGGATTCTCACTATATTTATTTTATTTGAAATTGGTCTGTCTCTCTCTCAAATATTCTTGTTGTAGAGTGTGTTGTATACATGCTATTATTGCCTAAAACTTATATATCAATTTCCAAATTCTTATAAAGATTAAAAATAAATTTTATTAAATTAATGTTTGTATACCGCATATTTACATTTCCATTTTCTTAAAAAAATTTATAGTTTTAGATAAATTAGGATTCAGTCATTTATAAAAAACCGTTCCACGGTTAGAATTTTTTATATTTAAAAACAATTCTGATCTATGGTTGAGAAGATCTAATTATTGAGAAACACATCGCAATCAAATACTTCATACTTCCATTACAAAATCAAAATGAGCAGCTTGACGAAAATCGAAAGACATCCGACCATTGCTGGATGGTCGACGGCCGCGGGTAAGGAAAGAAATAATGAAAGTCCATGCCAGAGGAAAGTGCTCTCTATATTAACAACAAGGCTTTCGAGAGAGCGACACGAAGGTGCGACGAGGGGAAAATATAGTGCTTCCATATCCGTGCGCGGCTGTCTATCGATTCTCGACGAGTATAAAGTACTGCGATTCCGCCTGCCGCCGTCGCCGAGTCGACGGAATAAATTTGCGCTCGCCCGGATAAAACGGGGTGAGAGCCCGCGGAGTGCAGGCGGGAGGAACGAATCGGGTAAAAGAGGGCGCGGTGAGAGAGGGTGCGATGTCGGAGTCGCAGGACGGGCACAGGCGGGCGGGAGAAAAAAAAAGGAGAAGGAAGAGTACACGAGAGGAAATGGAAGAGGCGAACGGGAAGAGGCGTCGGAAAAGCCGGAGCGCGCAACTCCAGACTGCGATGGGAATTTTCGAAACTACCCGAACACTCCTCCCCGCGCTCACCATTTCCTCGGTCTCGCACTTTTCCGCCCCTTATTCGTTCCCTCCGCTTCGCCCGCCCGCCGCGCCGCAACGCGCGATCGAGTATCAACGGCAGTCAGCGAGGGAAACGCGTGCGTGTACAAGCGTTTGTGTAGGTTTCACGTAATGAGAAATCTGGCATGCATCTCAAAGTTGCTTAGCTCGACGGACTTTTAAAACCGCGGAGTTACAAGTTGCTTGGATCTTTATCGCGCCAAAAGTCGCTTCAATCCGATTTAATATTGTAGGATAAATATAGAGTCAAAAGAGCCGGATATATTTGACCCATCGATAAGAGGCAGCTACTTTAGAAAAATCGTTATCACACATAATTAAGATGTTAATAAAATTATCAGATATTAAAATATTAATATTATATCTTTGTTATATTACAAATAATAGCGCAGAAAGAGAAAGAGAGAGAGAGAGAGAGAGATAATAAGTAAAAAATATCAATCACTATATCAAATACGCAAAGAGTTTTTAAATAAATAATATGAAGCACTGACAGCAGGTAAAAGTCCTAATGGAAATATCCGCATATGTCTAAATTTACGTTTTAAAAAATTCTTATTCTTTTTTTTCCTTCTAATAAGGAAAACAAAAGTTATTTAAATTACAATCATTGTATATAAGTATACGATTAAAATTGCAAAATAACTTAATCAAACATCATTTATCCTTCAAGGACATAAATTTTTATGATATCCATCTATATATTATGTATGCGAATATGAAATAGCTTTCACATGAGCAATCTGAACAATCTTTACAATCTCTACAACCAAAAAACATTAAAATTGCATTTTGCTATTTTTGTAGATTGCAAATTGTATTCTTTGCCATTATCGTTTCATGGTTCTTTCAATATTTATATTCTTCAACATCAAGCGATTAAATATCGTATTCTTATAGAGATTATCGCAGAATTATCCTACAATTATATACGATGTTATTCGCAAAAAAGTGCCAAGATCCTTTTGTTCTTACCCTTTCCTTAAACCACCCCACCTTCGTTTTGCGGTGGCGAAAGCAAGTATGAGAAGGAGGGGAACTTCTCTTTGGCGATTGAGGATCGTTACGGCAGCTGATTG